ACTCTTTATCTGTGTCCTCACTTGCTACCTTCTAAGCCATACCCCCTTACTTCTTGATGAGATTAATGCCTGGCTTATTAAGTCTTCCATAACTACTCAATTCTTGACCACTTCAATATATGTGTAGATGCTCCTTCCCACACTCTGGCCTCTCAGCCCCTGGGAATTCTTTTCTCTAGTGATCTTGCTCTCTACCCTATTACTGTCTCTCTTGTCATACCCTGGTCTAGGGCTTGTCGTTGCCAAATAACAGCACCCCCCACTCCATGATATCACTGCCATGCATTCCATTCTCTGAATACTCCTCTTATCTTTCTAGCTCCTCCTTCTTTTACCCTAACCCCAACACACCCTTTCAAACCCTCTGGGAACTTCAATCAATTGATCCTACCAACTTTTCACTGTTCCTCACCCCCTTGATGTCTTCACTTGCTTTTTTATTAAGATAAAATTGCCTCAACAATCACTATAATCCCTTTCATGCACCTTTGATTCCCTCTCTCTTTTCTTACTTCTTTGGCAAAACCACAATCCTGATCAAATTCAACTCTTCACCCATTCTATGCCTTTACTTAACTGAACAAGGAAAAATATACAATGATGGTAACCAGTCCTACTTTAATTTCATGACTATGAGTTTCAAATGCCATTTAATGTCAGCTGGCAAACATATTGCCCTTGTCTATACCACTCTCTTTCTCTCTATCTCTGTGTCTCTCACTTTCTTTCTCTCCCCCCTACCCTGCCCTGGCTGCCCCATTCTCATTCTTGTTAATGATCTTGCTCTTCCCACATTACAGAAAAAACTGACATATCAGGGAAAGAACTTTTTAGACCTTAATCATACCTGCCAACATCCATATACTCCTCCTTCCCACTTGTTATTTGTTATCACAGACAAACTATCTGTGATCCTTTTTCACTGATGCCCGCATCACAAATTCTCCCCTTTCTCCAACATCATGAATCATCTACTGGAAATTTGCAATTTGAAATGAAACTCTATCTTGACCTTACTTATCCTCCAGCTGCTGCCCTATTTCTTCACTACCCTTCACAGCAAACTGCTCAAAACAAGTTGCCAATATTCACAGCATCTAATTTGTATCCTCTCATTCTCTCTTAAACCCACTTCAATAAAGGTTTCATCACCACCACTTCACCAAAACTGCTTTTAGCAAAATCACCATTGATCTCCACTTTACTGAAATCAGTGACCAATTCTCAGTTCTTATCTTACTTGACCTTCAACAACATTTAACCTAGATAATTACTCTTCTCTTCTTGATAAACTCTTTTAACTTCCAAGATGTGGCACTTCTGGTTTTTCTCCATCTTTGCTGGTCATTCTTCCTTGGCCTTCTTTGCTGGTGGCTCATGTCCTCGTTGGTCCTTTATCAATTGAGAGCCCCAGATCTCAGCCTGTGATCCTCTTCCCTTCTCCATCTGTCCTTCTTCCCTTGGTCATTTTTTTCTATTTCATATCTTTAAATAGCATACCACACATCAACGACTGTCAGTTTTATATCTCTTCCCAGACCAATCTCTCAAACTCCCTACATGGAGATCAAACTACCACCCACATGATCTTGCCAGTTCATGATATTATCATATCCACAATCAAACTTCGGATCTCAGCCCTGCCTCTGCCCTAAAATCCACCAAATCTACTTCTTCTGCAGCATTCTCCATCTCAGTTAATTTTACTCAGGCCCCAAACTTTGGAGTAATCTGTAGCTCTTCTTTCTCTCTTCTACTACATTCAATCCCATTAGGAAATTCTGTTGCCCCAACTTTAAAATACATCCAGAATCCAAATTCTCACCAACAGTCTGCCATTCCTAGTCAGAGTGACCATGATCGCTCCACTGGATCATTTTGGAGACCTCCTATCTGACCTTCCTCCTTTTACCCTTCCCCCAAAATCTATTCTCCCTTATAGTCTATATTACATCCTGTTAAAATATAGGTCATCTCATGGGATGTTTCTGCTCAGAGCTGTAAGAGCTCCCATTTCACATAGGGCTCAAAGTCCCTACAATGGCCTAAAAGGTCCTGGCCCACTGGTCCCTGTGACCTCACAGATGACATTCCCCCTCACTGACTCCACTCGAGGTTCAAGGGCCTCCATGCTGGCCCTCAAACTGCCAATCTCACACCTACCCCAGAACCTATTGACTGTCTCTTTGCTGGAATGAAGTTGCCCAGATATCCACATGGCTGTCTCAGCAATTTATAGTCTTTGATTACACATCTCCTCCTCAATTTGGCCTACTCTGACCACCTTATTTAAAATTGCAATGCACCACCCTCTTCCTACCACCTGATTCCCCTACTTTTTCTTTTCTCCATAATTCTTATCCCCTTCCTAAACACTATAGATTCATTCTATTATATATAGTTTATATATAATAATATATAATTATAACTATAACATAGTCATATATGTGACATAGTTTTTGCATATTATTAATATGTAGTTTATCTATTTATTATGCTTATTATCTCTCCCAGCTACCATGTGAACTCCCCAGGGCAAGGACTTTTGTCTCCTTTGTTCATTGATATATCTCAAGTACTTAATGAAAGAACGTCAGGCAGAGCAATTAGAAAGCTATTGTAATAATTTAAAAGATAGCTAATGAAGGTTCTGTTTGGTCCTATCTTACAAATATTTATTGAGAGTACAAAGGTAAATAATCCAGAAGCCCTTCCCTTGAAGACCATTCAGTGCACAGATAGGTAATTTCAAAATGTTAAAAGATAATGGAGCAGAACCAGGGCATCCTAGAGAGAACAGCATGAGTGAAGAGTAGGAGGTATACAACTGCATTATGTATTCAGAGTATCAAAAGCTCGTCAATGTGACTAGATGTGATGGTCTATTTGATGAGCCCTTGCCTATGCTACAGTCTTAAGTTATTCAATGATCACTAATCTAGTGTTGCTGTGAAGGTATTTTGTAGATGTGATTAAAGTCAGTTGACTTCAAGTAAAGAAGATGCTCCTTGATAATCTAGATCAGAATGATTCAATTAGTTGAAAGGCCTTGAAAGCAGAGCTGAGGCTTCCCTGAAGAAGAAGAAATTCCACCTGTGGACTGCAGCATCAGCTGTGCCCAAGAGTTCAAGCCTTTCCTTCCAGATAGCCTGGCCTGTGAATTTAGACTTGCCTAGCTGCCCCCTACCATGATGAAAGCCAATCCCTTGCAACCAATCTCCAGAATATGTCTTCTACTGGTCCTGTTTTTCTGGTTGAACCCTGACTGATGCACTATAGTAACCAAGTTTAAGGCAGAAGAGGGTGAAAAGTGAAGGGTAAGAAGCAGCAGGGCCCAGATAAAGGGTAGTTGTTTTTAACATGTGAAGAGGCTTGAACTGGACCATATAATCCATAGGACAAGCACAGTGAAGGGCATGATCGGGTAGAAATAAATTATTCTTTATTTGATATAAAGGGCCAGGGGGAAAGAGGAAGAGAGAGGCTGGACGTTGGGAAATCAGGAAAGTTACAAATGAAAGAAGTAAGAGGAGAACCAAGAAGACTGTCATGGAAGCCAAGGGAATAATGCTTTGAGAAGAAGTGAGTGGTCCACCCTGATCTGGTACATCAGAAGAGCCTGGCAGGTATCCACTGGGTTGTGATGAAAGGAAGTCACAGAGGCCCTCAAGAACAGCCATGATGGAGCAGAGGAGTGAGAAACCAATTGTGTTCCTTGAAGAGTGACTGGAAAATGAGAAAGCAGAGCAAATAAAGGTAGATGACTCTTTCTGAAGTTCGGCTTAGAAGGGAAGAGGAAAAAGGGGCAGAAGAGAGAAAGCGGTACAGTGTCAAATGAAGATGAGTGGAATAGGAGAAGCTTGAGGCTTTTCATGGACTGAGGGAAGTAGCCAGCAGTATGGAAGGGGGAAAGAGAGATGAAAACAGGGAACACATTCTCCTGAGCAAACTTCTAGAGAGATGAGGTGACCAAGGCTAAAGGACACAGATGAAGGTTTGGTCAAAGACAGAGGGAAGCCTTTCATCTTCTGAAAACTTGAGGAAAGGGGGAATGATGGGAGTAAACTGACATATTTGAAGATGGAGAAGATAGGAGACCTCCAAGAATTCATGCCCAATGGCCCCAGGGTTTCTTGGTGAGGATAGGAAACAAGGTTACCTGCTAAGAGAGAGAAGATGGTGTGATATGGCTGAAGATGGAGGCTTGGGTTCAGTGGGGACTAGGTGGCCACCTGCCAGGACATTACAGACAGGAATAGGGGTAGGTGAGAGTTATTCTAAATGATTTCTGAATTCCCTTGCAATTTAACATTTCTGTAACATCCTTTTGCAGGAACATTGCCTGGTGCTTCCTCAGCATCCAAAACAATACCTAGTATGTTGCAGGCACTCAATAAATATTTGTTGAATGAATGAATGCATAAATGAAAAATGAGCTTCTCTCCAAAATAAGCACATAAAATTTTTTCACCTGCTTTAATGAAAAATCATTTTAATATTTTTAAGAGATCACAGATGCTTCGCAGAGGCCTTAAAATTTAATATAATGACTCCAGTCTTCTCTCTTTACTGTATGAGGATGTAGGCAAGTCAACACAGATAACTTAGGTTTCAATGTGGGCAATTTTAGCTTGAAATTTTTTCCTGGGTTATCTTAGAGCAAATTGTCAGGAAAATGGCCAAATCTCTATTTTGTTATATTATACAAGAAGTTTTTCTGAACCAAGCAAGAGTTTATTCACTGTGATTTTTCATTTAGATTCTACCACTATAGGTGGAATATAGCCTTAACCTTCTCTGGTACATCCGGCTCTGTCTTCCCTTACTGGTTTTGCTGACACTTATCACCTACTGAGGTGAAAAGAGGGACAAAAACAAGACTCCTAAAAAAAAAAAAGCAAGCTTAACTGGATGTGTGGCATATCATATAATAAAAATATAATGCAGACTGTGTCAGGTTGCTGCTCAAATGGGTCTCATTGAACTTCCCCATGCATTACCTGGGTGGAAGACTTTGGTTTTTCCATGAGTGATTCCAGAAGAGCTGGCCTCCATTTTTATTGACCTTCTGCCTGGTGGGAGTGAGGAATGCCTGACCACGGGCAGGCGGTGTGACCCTGGGCGGCTTGCCACACTTCGCCGTTGATGGATTTGCAAACGCTTTTCAGCCCCATGAATAGATAAACTTAAACCTGGAATAAGAAATAGTACCATGAGACTGAAGAAGTCAGTTTGGAATGACTAAAATGCTAAGTTATATTCTGGTATGAAATCCAGGGAGCAGGAGCAATTGTGTTGCAAATTCTTAAGGGACACTTCATTCAACAGTGGACATCGTTAGTTATCATAACAATTGTGCAAGATCCAACAAAGTCAAATATGAAAACTCTTGCCAAAATTCTTTCCAAAACCCTGGGAAATGCACACATACTTGGTATGCTGTTGTCACAGTCTATGGGACTTAGGAATTGGTCCTGGGGTATCTGGAATTTCAATAAAAATCAAGGAATTTTCTCCATAGGATTCACAGATAGGCTAGAGTTGTCAATTGAACTTTCCTTTACAGCTTTGATGATCTTAGAATTATGTGCATCTTTAGAACTATTTCATTCAGGAAAATTTCAAACGTATTAAGAGCAAAAACTGTATAATGAACGTGGTGTACTCATCACACAGCTTCAACAAATGCCAGACTTTTCCAACCTTGTTTCATCAATTCCACTACCCCTGTTGTTGGTTTGCTTTTTAGGTGCTAAAGTAGTTTAAAGTGAATCCCAGACATCATGTCAATCTCATTAAAAGCAATACTGACTGCATTAACTTACATAAATTACATTAATATGGATTCTACTTACTGATGCATGCAACTGTATAAAAAATCTATGAGTTCAAAGGATATCTCTGAAAAAACACTCATTGATCACCATTAGAGGCTGCTAAAATATCAATTTATTGCTCAGAAAATTAATGAAGGGAAAGAAGCAGGCATTTATTCTGCCTTTCCTTTATCAACCATATTTCGAGGTTACCAAATAGTTGATGAAGGGGAATTCTTCACTGCAGAAGAATTTCTGCTAATAAATACTGATGGAAAAGAGAATTATAAAATCATTCTAGAATGCCCACTGAAATATGAAAGTTGACATGATTTGTTCAAAGAAACACTGTGAGCACAGAGCTGGAATTCAAACCCATAGATGACTGAATCCAGCTCTGTTCTATAAAAAGAGCCAGGAAAAGTGTTAGCCTTATTTAATGTCAACAAGCCATCAGGACTTGGTCAGGAATCATGTCATCTGATAGGGGAAAGCTAAGCTTCACCAGACCACAGAATTTTTGATTAAGAGGAGAAATAGTTGAAACTTGAATGTAGAAATTTAAAGTTGGCAATTACATTACTGTTTAGCTAACGAATCTGGTGCCTTTTACAGCTGAGGAAACTGAGAACTGGTGAAGTAAAACAGTTGGTTTATGGATTTTCAGTACTTGGAGAATACAATGAGAAATCAATGAAAATCCCAGAAATGAGAGAAATAATAAGACTGCTCAGTGGTAAACTGCAAAATCAGCAATCACAGGTCATGTCAAAGGCATGAAGAGTCACCTAATATTTCCCCAGGGGGAAAACAAAGAATATGATCTGAGCCAATTTTTAAATTCTAACAAATTATAAGGAGGGACAACTCAAATCAGAATGGGTTTTGGTTAGGGAAGGAAGCATTAAAACAAACAAACAAACAAATAGCATACAGTGTCACAAAGACAATCACAGGCAGTGCCCATCCGAGCAATAGCCTCAGAATTCAAGAATTACAATTGCACAGCCAGATCGTCCTGACATATGATTTTACTCATTTATCCACTTCACTGCCTTCATTCTGACAGTGCTCACCAGACATCCTGTGGGTTAGGATTTGGCTTCCAGTAGAGGGGCAGAGTATTCACACTAGTGTCCCTGTCTACCTGAGACACAGGTTCTCAGTGTGAGCTAACAAATGGACATCCTGGGTTTTTATACATCTACTTCCTTATGAATTGTTTAGTATGAGTCTGCCCCCAAGGTCCAGTTTCAAAGCCCACAATGCTGTGACCCTGAGCCCCAGTCTCAGGAGATTCACCAGGTTAGGACTGTCATGCTGGATGGCCCCTTGAGAGACAGCCTGGCTGGCTTCCCCTGGCAATGCATGCCCTGCTCTGATGCCCAGGTACCTGGGCAAGTGCAAACCTTCTATTCCCGGGGGTCTCTCTGTAATAGGACAGCCATGACAGCATCAACCTGTTTCCTTCTTCTCTACCATGCTCTGTATCACATTGTATGGTCCACATTTCCACAGAAGTGCAAAGTGAACATCTGTAGACCCCTCAAGATTCCAGAAGAATGCAGACAGATTTGTAGGTGACAGATGAAGGGAATGAAAGAGACATTTTTAATCACTATCAGAGGATACATGCAGTCTCAGTCTGCAAATATGAAATAGACTCCTCTCCTAAAAACATTTTTTCTTGTCCCTTTTGCAAAGGATTATTGGGCTGAAGGAAACAGGATTCTGACTCAGCGTGGCGCTTCTAGCTTTTATATAACTTCCCTCAAGGAAGCACAAAATGACATAAATGAGAATAAAAATTACACCCTGGGAATAATTGGCATAGGCACTTGAAACTGTTGAATTCTACATTTATAAAGTATAATAGTGTAGATCATAAGAAAAATGATAAAAATAAAAAATAATTCATAAGTATTACCAGGAAAAGATGGATATGAGGAAACAAGGCATGTTCTATGGAAATTTGGGAGGAACCCTGAATGCCTGAACAAATCCATACCAGTCCTCCAAAAATTAAGAGTCCTCAGAAGTACAGAGAAAGGACCTGGCCATGAGAGCTTTCCTCATACAAGGGCTAAGTCCATGGTAGAGAGAGATTTGTATATATAATAGCTACTACACAAGGCAGAAAATATACTCCAGATACTTGAAATCATTAACATTTATAGAACATTCAGGAGTCTCATCTTTAAAAATGAGTTGTCAGACAATAAATTGCATCATTCAATTTGTTCTTAATTAAATTTAGAAAAAAAATGTTGACACTGATTATCTGTTAAATGCCGGGCACTGCATTAGATATTGATCATTATCCCATTAATGTCTCATCATAATCATAAAAGACAGAATTGGTATTTATATCTTATATACATGAAACCTAAGGCTCAAGAAGGTACTTGTCCAAGGTCACACAACAAGTGATTAACTGGAATTTTAACCCTGCTCTTTTCCACTACACCATGTGGTCTGATGCATTCAATGCCAACACGTACACTAATTGTTTTAAGTCTGCAGTGGTTCTGAATAGTAACTTCATAGAGGTTTATCCAGGTGGGGATTAGAAGGTAGAGAATGCTGGCACTTCTTTGGCCCAACTATCTTTTCTCCCCTTTTAGAACTGTCTTTTTCTCCCCTTTTCCATGTTTGGCTTATGTCACCATCCGGGCTACAATGTCCTCTTCGTTCTTGACCAGTAATCAAAGGCCTCGTCAGTAAGAGCAGGCTGGAGCTGTACCTTCCCCTGGACACCCTTCCAGTTCTTCTGGCCCACTTCCATCTCTAAGCTTGCAATGCCCTTGAACTCTCATTCACTTGCCTGTATATGGATGGCCTATTTCTCAAACTAGTTCCAGCGTCTCTAAGGGCAAGAATCATATTATGTACTTTTCTGATTCCTTCCTCAGCTCTGGACAAAGTACTTTGCATAGGGTAGGTGTGAGATGACAATCTGCCTCCAGTCCCTTCTTCCCCTGCACTCTGCACCCTACTTAGTGCAAAGATACCTTGGGCATAGACGGAGCACGGGCCAAGAGCAAATTAAGGAAGTGACACAGAGCTTGACCTGTGCAACACATTTTTAATTTAGTGCTTCCTGTTCCATTACGTTGTCACCATCTTTGCTAGATGTCCTGAGGCCTGAAACTTCGCTGCCTCCCTCAGCTTCAGCAGAGGGTGTCTTCTCCAACTCAGCTAAGAAGATGGAACCCAGGTGATGTAAAGTTTCTAACTTCCTCCTTTCCACCTCAAATTACCTTTGCAAAAGTACCTTTTCCTCTTAAGACCTATCATCTACCGTACTTGATAAAAGACTCAAAGTCAGAACCTGGGGAAACACACACCTCTGGGGATGAGGAGAGAGAGGTAAAAAGTAGTGGTTTAAATGTGGATACCAGAATCAGAGTTTCTAGGTTCAAATCTAGCCACACCATTTACTACTTATGTTACCTAGTGCAAGTTATCTAATGGGTTTTTTTGTGCCTCTGTTTTTTCCCCTGAAAAATATGGCTAATAACAGTGCATACCTCATAGAGTTCTGAAAATTAATAGAGTTTATACCTATAAACTGTTTATGGCAGTGTCTGGCATACAGTAGGTGCTCAGTACAAGTTAGCTGCCAACATTACCTTCTGTCCTATCAATGACTTCTCCTCAATCTTCATCTTTACCCATAACATTTAATACCATTGTCCCTGCTCATCTTTTTCTTTCAACTCATGCTTTGGTTTCACCAAGACAAGCTTCTTGCTACCCCTCCTACCTTCCTAAACTCTCTTCTCTTTCCTCTTCTCAGAGGTAGGGGTATCAGTTTCCCAAGCCTGCTGTAACAAATCACAACTATGGTGGGTTCAATAACAAGAACTTTTTTTTTTTTTTTGAGGCAGAGTCTCACTTTGTTGCCCAGGCTAGAGTGAGTGCCGTGGCATCAGCCTAGCTCACAGCAACCTCAATCTCCTGGGCACAAGCAATCCTGCTGCCTCAGCCTCCCTAGTAGGTGGGACTACAGGCATGCGCCACCATGCCCAGCTAATTTTTTCTATATATATTAGTTGTCCAATTAATTTCTTTCTCTTTATAGTAGAGACGGGGTCTCACCCTTCTTAGGCTGGTTTCGAACTCCTGACCTTGAGCAATCCGCTCGCCTCGGCCTCCCAGAGTGCTAGGATTACAGGCGTGAGCCACTGCACCCGGCCAACAAGAACTTTTTATCTCACATTTTTGAAGGCCACACGTCTGAAATCAAGGTGTTGGCTGGGCTCCCCCATAGAAGCTTTGGGGGAGAATCCATACCTTGTCTCCCTCAGCTTCTCATGTGTGCTAGCATTTCCCTCTGCCCCTCTCTCATAAGGACACTTGCGATGACATTTAGG